TTTTGATCAAGAAAAAGAATCTATCAAAATTAGTCAAACAGTTTATAAAGAGAGAATACATAATGTAATGTGTAATATAACATGTTTTTTTTAACTCATTTTACTAATGGATTTTCTGAAAAAAAATATAATCATACCACTCTTTTGATTTTTCTACATGAGTTTTTCTTCAAAATACTGTGTTTCAAGTAAAGATGTTAATTCAAGAATTATTAATTTATTTTCTATTTCACTTGAATTGTCAGAAGCTTCTTCTTCTTTAAATAAATCTTCTATTTCTTCTGCATTTTGAAAAGCTTTAAAAATATAAAAAGATAATAAATTTTCTATATTTTTATGTTTAGAATTTTTTTATTTTTTTTATTGACCAATCTACACAACTAATAAATCAATTAACTCAATTATGAATTTTGATCACAAATTTTAATTGGCTGTTGAAATTTGTGATCAAAATACTAATTGACTAGGTATAAACTAACCTATTAAGTTACATGATGTTAACGGTATGAAATCATACTTAAAAAATAGTGTTTAGAGACTTTTAACAGCTCTCTATATATTTTATTAGTTTATATAATTTTTTAATTTTATAATTAAAATATGTATATTAGTTTTTATGTGATTATTAAGATAATCTTTCTTAAACTTACTATAGCTTTTTGTAAAAATATTGTTTTTTTTTCTTTTTTCACACCAAATATAATACATAATTGAATTTCTTTCTTCATCCTTTCTTTTTACTAACCATAAATACATGTATATTCATTTTGAATTCTAATCATTTTGTTCTTTTCTGTACTTTTATTTAAAATCTTTTTATATTTAGAAGAAGAGAACTCTGCAGGTTCAATATTATTGATTTAGTTTCTATAAACAAATGATTAGCTTTTTATTCAATATATTAAATTAAATATAAAATTTTATCACAAACATATCTATATAAAGATATAACAAAAGGTAATAATAAATGAATTTATAAAATTTCTTTTATTGAACTTTTAGTTATTCTAAAATCTTATTTTAAGTTACTTTTCAACTTAAGAGAAAATATAAGATATTTATATAAAATAAAATACAGTTAGACCTCTATATAGTTACACTTTATATAAGCATGTTTCTTTATAATTATCTGATTTTGCAAAATAGATTTAAACAATAATAAATTATCTCTATATAATTATAATCAATTATAATCACTATCATACAAAATTTTTAACTTACATATCATTTTTATTATTGAAATTACCTTTTTATAATCACTATAATTTTGATTAAAAAATAATTTTAACCAGAATTACTATATAAATATTACATAAATTACCTTTATAGAAATTTATATTATATATATTTAAAAAGAAAACCATAAAATTTGATTTTTTGTGAAATGGTTATCATCAAAAAAGAAAATAATTTTCAATTACATGATTTATAAATTATAATACTAATTAAAATTAAGATAATTAAAAAATTAATATTCTTATAATAATCACATCTCTATATAATCACTAATTTTTAGAAACTGAATGAATGACTATATAGAAGTCTGACTGTATTATAAAATATAATATAACAAATATAATATAAATAATAAAATAAATAAATAAGATAAATATAAATACTCTATTAACTATGATATAATTAATAAGTATAACAATTATAACTGATCTATCTTAAATAACTAATAGATAAGTGTTGACTACTTTGTCATATTGGTCTAATTTATTTATTTCATTAACTTAGTTAATCATTTCTAATCATATGACTAATTAAGTGTAATTAAAGATCACAATTTTAACATAATTATTCTTATGCTTTCCTTTTTAAGCTACTTATACTTTAAAAATATCTTTTTATTACTAATAAAGTTTAAATAGTAAATGAAAATTGATTATTTTCATCTTTTTTAGCATTTATTTCTAACTATTTTTTAATATAATAATTATAGAACTTGTATTTTGCATATAAATAATTACTTAATTAAATAAATAGGTATTTTACAAAATATTCTAAATTTTAGGTTATATAATATATAAATCAAGATTACGTACGATTTGTAAAACTCAAAAGTAATTTGCATTTTGCAAATTTTGCAAATAGATTTTATTTACTATTTCTAATATGTGAATCTGTAATAATTTTAGTTTTTAAATACTTTAGTTTGAAGCTTATAATATATTAATTTAGTTTATTACAGAGATCTTACAATAAATTAAATTTGTATAAGGATAATTAATATATTTATTTTTAATTTCAACTTATTAGGAAAAAGATTAGTAATTTTTAAAATTTTAAAAAGTGAATATACTTGAGATTAATTAAGATAAACATTTTCCGATAAATCTATTAAATTTGCATTTTACTATAAAATCAACAGAAAAATTATGTATTACTAGATCTAAAATTCATTTAATATTTAAAGTTTTTGATTTTTTATTATATAATTTTTTACGTTAGTCTGCAGATTTAGATATTTGTTAAAAAATTAAATGAAATTAATTAGCAAATATATTATAAAAGTATTATTATATTAGATGAAAGAACATATAAGTAATTTATGATATAGAAGTAATATAGCATTTATAAAAGAAATTTATAATTCTAAAGTGAATATGCAATGAATTATTAATATACACATAATTAGTTTAATATAAAGAATTCATTCAATATATATGGGACAGATTGTAACAAAACCAAACAAAATGAACATTTATATTTGATATAAATGAGAGGCTGATGTGATTAAAAAATTAGTGTGACATTTGAAAAGGCTTGTTTTAGTAGCACAGCTGTGGCTTATTGCAGACATAATTTGTAGACTATCTTAGATTTGTTGTAAAAAACATAATAGAAATTTAACTTATTTTAATTGAAACTGCACAATTATTTAGTAATAATTATAACACATTCTATATGGGATTATCTTTATATAAAATATAATATGAAACTAATTTACATTAAATCCATTGTGAAACTCAAAAATTATAATACTATTAGAAGCATTTTAAAAAAAGAACAAGGAGAAAAAATTGCGTTTTACGTTTTTAAAATCAATGATACTCAAACACTTTAGAAGTATCTAGATAAAAAAACAAAAAATAATAAACAACAAAAAAACATTAACCTCAACATATAATGAACTAAGAAAAAAAATGAAAACTTGAAGAAAAATAAAGGGAAGCAGTTTAACATAAAAGGCTTCTGCTAATCGAACAACCTATCAATAAAAGATTGTTCCTTATAGTCTTAATAAAAGACTGTTTAAGCATATGCGTTGAGCTTTGAATTTGCATTTTGCTTTTTGACACAATTGCAATCAAAGAGTCAAACAATGTAAAATAATTCAATTTTTTCATAAGCATAAATTTTATTATTTTGATTATTGAATATGCACTCTTGAAATATAAATAACGTAAAAGCACTAGAGTGATTACATGAGAGGAAAATATTCAGACCCAAAGCTATTGATGAGTATAATCTATTCTTTGGTTACTCTGATGCAAATTTAAATTTTATTATCTTTTTTACTATTTATTAATAACAATATTATCATCACTATTATCTATTATTTCATTATCTTTGTGGTTTACATTTTCTTTTTCTTTGTTAATCTAATGTTGGATTGCTATAATGGTCTTTTTCCGCAGATTTGTTCTTCAAAGATAAAAATTTCTTATTATAGATGTAGTAATAGCCTTTTGTTCATCGAGCAACTTATGAATTTCAAATACCATTTTGTTAAATGAAAAATTTGGAACCAATTTAGTTCTTTCGTCATATAATCATTTCAGATCATTTCACAACTTTTTGATTTCTAGCAAATTTTGTTTGCTACTGACAGTTTTTTTATGGATTTCAACTTTATCGATTGAATTAGAGCTTCTATATTATTAAGCCGACTATTACAGATTATGACATTTAGCAATCAGCTGAAAATGAAGCTAATAAATACTCTAAAAAAGAATTCACTTGTAAATGTAAGCATTTTTCGTAGTATTGTTAGTAGAAATTGACAGATTTATTTTATTGCTTTAAACGATGTATTGCTATAATAATATTTATTACATTGTGGTTGATTTCTGAAGTTAACTAGTGCTAATTTTATAATAAAATATTTGTTTGTTTATCATTTACTGCAGACAATTATTAAACAAACGCACATTGATTATCATTGGTCACCATTTGCATATAAGGGAATAATAGTTATATTGTGAAAAGATCTAGAAAGTTTCTAGTAATATGTCATTGATTAAGCCACTGATCAGTGTTAAAATATTAGAGCACATTGCGCAGCACATCTCCACAATGAAATAGACAAATAAACAAATAAAATAGCAAACATCAATGAATTCAAACAAGAATTGGCGAAGGCACAGAAGAAGTTGGAAGATGTGAAGGCTACAGTGATAGCATTTGAGAGAGATAAAGATGAAAAACTACTGTTAAAGAAATTGAGGAAAAATAGAAAAGGACTTGATGAATATGACCAGAAGGAGAAAGCAAGATTGAAGGAGAAAGAAAAGCATCTGGAGGTGGAAAAGACCAAGTAGAATGAGAAAGTGAGAGAGTGGAAAAGAAGTTTCGTGAGTTGAATATGTAAATAGGTAATAACTTTATGACTTAGACATTGAGGATATAGAGTAATGTGCACATGAGTAGAGTAGTATACATAGGATAGAGATAATGTAATAATGTGGGTTGTAAGACATTTTTGCTCAATCCTTTCTTCATATGTTCTATTTGTTATTTCTTCTTAAAAAATCTATTAAAATATAAAGTAAATTATGATTACTTACTACCATGTATTAAAAAAATATGCGTCATTAACATTTTGTTATCCAAAGTGTTAGAAAGACAAACAATATTCTCAAAAACTTCTCTACTTGAACTATCATTCTGCAAATGCAGAAGGAGATTCTATTACACTCTTACATCCTTTGTTTGTAACTTTCTATAATGATTGCAAAACAATATAGCTAACTCGAACTGATACCAAATTTGTCATGGAAATTATAGATCATATACCTGAAGCTTTTGCAGATGAAAATACGAGAATGAAAAAATTTTATGAAATTTATTATAAACATTATAAGATACAACTGAATCAGTTCAAAGTAGGCAGTTATATAACTGATAGTTCTGGTTTTGATATAGCAGGACGTCTTTTGGTAGTTAATCTAGAAGTTAAAGAATATATATTACAAATCTTGCTAGATCATTTAAGATGCAGACTTGACTGCTATGTTTTCTATTATACCTTACAGATGAGAATAATTATATAATATATAGACTGCATTTTGTACTTGTTATTTTAACTATTTTAATATGTTTAGGACCCTATATTAGCATTGCTAGAATTATTTTGATAGACAGTGTGACATGCAATCTTCTTACACCTGTTCTTCCTTTATTATGTCTATATTATGATAAGCAAGCCATGTTTCAATTAACACAAATATTTCATGCTCTCAACAAGGCAGTAGTCTTATTGCAAGAGGTATATAACCAAAGGCCTTTACAAATTTCTTCTGTCCAAAGATCTTTCCTATATATTAATTCTTTTCAAACATTAGAAAGACAAATGCTTGAATTTAATTACAAATCTAGACTTTATAACTTAGTATTTCATGTTGAAAGGAATAATGATTATAGCTGTACACTTTCAAAGGATTTACTTGTGAAGTTTGTACAGGATTATGAAGTTAATGCACATGAAGCTTGTGCAGAAATGGGTATTGCATTCCAGTTATTTAGTTGTTATAGAGTTTTAGGAGGATGGAAGGTAGTTGTCATGGAATACATAAAAGATAGTTATTCCAATTTAGCAAAAGAATATAATAAACCATCTTCTGTAAATGAAATCAAGAAGTCTGTAAAAGAAAAAGTTGAAAAAATGCAAGTAGTTGTAAAATAGGCTTTTTGGCACAAATTCAAGTAGCCGGGTTAAATGCGTCCAGAAGGTTATCCTGGATATT